TATATATATATATATATATCTACGTATATATTTCTCTTTCTTCTTCTTCTTTCTCTACCACCACTTTTGACACACCCGATTATACGACTGGGCGTGGTGTTATAATTGACCTAAATGAACAGCAATGATGCTCTTTTCTCTTTTATTTTTTCTTGTTTGCTCTCTTTAGCTGCTTACTACTCACTGCCAGTCTAAAGGCACGTCTGTAGCAACTCTGGGTTAGGCCGACTTTTCGTTTGAACTCGCGGTAGGTAGGTACACTAGGAAGTTGAGGATGGAATGTCTGTATATTACAGATATATGTGTATATATGTCTATGTACGTATAAGTATGCGTGTTTGTGTATATGTGTGTGTGTGTGTGTGTGTATATGTGTGTGTGTGGGTGTAGGTGTGTGTGTGTGTGTGTGCAGGGTGGGTGGGAGATACGGGGCGGTCGATTGATATCGAGAGGACGAGAAAGGGAAGGATAAACTTGATAAAAAATCACGAGCGGCGATATGTTACGACACAATGACAATTATTGCATAGAAAACGTAACGGTGCTACGCGTGCAATTGTATCAACTGCAATCTGCCTAGCATGCTCCAATTGGGACCACAGATTCTGGTCGTAGGAGATCCGAAAAGAACCAGGCCTTGCTCTTTTTTTCTCTTTTTCTCCTTTTCGATCTCTCTATTTTTATCGAGAATAAGTCGTCGACTCGAGCGCACGGTGTATTATGTTTGACATTTGATTGCGTTATGCTCGCTCTTCTAATCGATACGCTTCACTTTCGGTAGTCCATGATAGTAGCCGCGACCTTGGTTTTCTCTTCGTGATAAAGCGCACACGTCCTGTACCGACCGTCCTGAAATCAGGTCGTTAATAGAGAATAATGTGCGATATCTTATAACCGTGAGTGCCAGGAACACAAAAAGATTTGTGATGGTTTTTTAAATTTTCTTTTATTTTTTTTTAAATCTATTATTTTTTATTTTATTTTTTTTTCTCAGGATATATTCAACAGAAGTGCTGCGACGTGTGGAGGTGGTTATCGGAGGTGCTCATCGTGCGTGCTCATAGATGCGTATAAGGTGCTCGAGTGTGGACAACATTTAAATCAATCGATGCCACTCATATTAAACATCCGCGATCGTTTCACGTTTTCGCCAATAAAGCTATCATCTCTCCGAGAGACGACCCTTTCCCTCGGTGTTGTTTCCTCATTCGCTTACCTTTCTTTTCTTGCCTTTCTCTCTATCTTTTTCTCTTTTTCCTTGTTTTTTTCTCTGCTTTTTCAATCGGCCCACCCTCTCTTTTTCGTTTTCTCTCTGTCATACATCCCTAGCTTCCCTTCCTCCTCACTTATAGAATGAACATCCCAAATATCGTACGTTTCCACAAAATGGAAATCAAGCTACGCATGACGCCCTGGCGGCGATCGCGATTACAGATAATCCACGAATTAATAATCATCTACGTGTCCGCTAGTAAATAATCGCGCCTACCTAAATTTCGCTCCGAGAACCGCGACCGTAATGTTGGCGAAATAAGCCGCGTACGTGATTGCGGAGTCATTTTCACGGAGCGTGCCATTACTGAACGGAGAAACTATCGCAACGCGAAATTTACAGAAGATTATCGGCGCGATTCCTTTCCAACTCTTAAGTTTCTGTAAATTCCAAATTTTGTACTTAAACACTATGTCGAGCGCTAAAATCTCATTCACATACTCGAGTTTCGTCTGAGTTAATTTCGGATTCGGTGATCAAAACTCGAATATCAAAACCTACTCGGATCACTAAAATTACTCCAAAACTGCGTTCTGTTGCACGCATAATACGCATGAGGTATTTTATCCTTATATTGTTCGCTAAGAGTGTTAAAGAGGATAAAATGATACATCATGCGCATTACATCTGCAATGGAATGCCGTCCAAGTATACTTTTATCCGGAATACCTGCTATAAAAATTTATGAATCGAACTTAAACGCCCCCAAGCGATTCTGTATTTTATTACGAAACGGAGATTTTGTTTACGACGATTCACGATATATTTTGATTACGTCCCTTTGATGAAAAGAAATCTTTCACAATTGAAGATACTATTGTTTTCTTAAATTATTCATATATACTTCGAGCGTTGTCATACAATTTCGTAAAATATCGAGTAGCAAAATGACAGAATCGCAATTGCGTTGAAACGAATAGCTTTAATCTAAATAGTTTTACGATAACGATTCAAGTCAAGTCAGGAAATTTTTCTTTCTAAAATCCGCGCCATTGCGCGAAAACGATATTCAAGCCTGTTTTTGTCAATGTAAACTGACTTTAATCTTGATTTAATTTACTTTTTATCTTTTTCCACTTCTAAGAATTAAAAAAAGATAAAAAGTAAATTAAACCGACATTAAAGTTAATATACATCTGTAGAAATGGATATTAGCTGTAGCTGTGTCTAATACGCGCCGCGTCCATCCACGGTGATGTAACTCGCGCGAGCGGGATTGACACGCAGGACGCGATGATTCTCGAGTATCGGATCCCGAGTAACGGATCCGATAATTTGGTACCGAACGAATTATGAAAGGGTGACATAATGTGGATAGCAGTGTAGTATGTAGGTCGGTCATATCAACAGGTGCCCCGAAAAACGTTCAAAAAGCAAAGGCTTGCCGTAGTAGAGAGCGGTGCGCGTTTGTCGGTGCGAGACGCGGGAGTAGGCGATACACGAGCGTGTATTGCGACAGAGGTACACAGGGTGTAGAGAACAAAGGTAGAGAAAAAAAAGTACACCGATATATATGTGTGTGTGTGTGTGTGTGTGTGTGTGTGTG